GGAATCGGGGAGCCAAGTTCAAATATCAGTCAAATCCTTTACATTCACTTATGTGCTAATACCCTTGGGAAAGGTATGAATCCTATTCTTCTCTCCCCCACCTATGGGTAAGTAGCAGGATAGACTATACTCTTGGATGGCAACTGTTGTACCACAGAAAGAAATGGCAATCTACTGTGGGGGGGAAAAAATCTGCCTTGTCAGTCATGTATCAAAAGATACATGATTGCCTATCACATATGGCACATAACTGACTGATAAATGTTGTAAAATCCTTTTTCTAAGAATGTTTAGAATCAATTAATAAAATATTTAAAAAAATGAAAGCATAATAATGAAATAAGCCTTAGCGGAAATGAAGAAATGATCATATTGAACAAAAGCTGAAAGGTTAACCACGAAGCTATTTACGTAGAAACAGAAATCATACTTATTATAAAACCCAGGTTGTTTGTGTGTGTGTGTGTGTGTGTGTTCCTTTATATATGGGATCGGATTTCCTACATTTTTCAACCGATTTCAACAAAACTTCACTTTTTTTTTTTTTTGGCAGGTAGTGTTTCTTATTGTCTTGCACACTTTTTTCTTTATTTTTATATTCAGAATGCTTTAAAAATTCCATTTACAAGACAATTGTTTATAATAAAATTCTATTCAATTGGTAGACTCATAACGATTGAAAACAATGGTTTTGTTTGAGTTTGGGTTTGACCAATTCATAAAAAAAAAACTAATTAAGACATGCATGTCTGTCAACCTTAAACAATAATCTTTGTCAATTTTATGTTTCAGTCTTTATGATGGTCAATACTTGATCTATCTCTTACTGTTACATCCCCGGGCAACGCCGGGCTCTACTGCTAGTAATCCATAAATTTAAAAAAATTCTGTTGGTTAATGTAAAAAGTTTGTTCACTTTATTAAACATAATTCATTTTACTAAAAATTTATTATTATAAATTATTATAAATCGTTATAATTCACTTTACTAAAACTTTATTGAACAATATATTTACTATATTGTTATTCATGTCCTTCCATCTTTACAACACATTCTTAATTCTGTCCTACAAGGACATTTTATCATTCTGACTACAGAACTCTTCTAAAAAAAAGTAATTCTTTTACTAAGGTAATTCTGCAAAGAATTAATTATCCAAAGGTAAAATTAATCCAAAGGTAAAATATCTGAGATGGTGACTGAATGAGGACATGAGCTCTCAGCCAAGCCATATCTATTTTTGTCCGATCACTAAAAGAAACATGCAGTCTAATGTTATACTGATTTACCCTATTAACCGAATTTCTGAAAGAGAGTCCTTTCGAATCATGCTATATTCAAAGTATCAACTTTGTTGGCTGAAGACCAGCCTTTGATATATTTGTAGTTGTTAATGTCACTTGCCTCACAATGTCTTCATTTTCTATTGTACAATATCAATTTTAAAAGTGATATGTGATGAAAAGCACTGCTTTTTATTGCCAGTCACAATTTGTTTAAAAAACGGAACAATTTTGCTACCTTTTTTTTCAGTAGTGAATCACAAACTGCCATGTTGAAGTCATCCTTCAAAGTAGCTAATATAATCACATTTTGATATGTTTGTAGTTGCTTATTCCACAATATCTTGCATTTCACATCATTGTAAAGTATTCAGTTTTCATTGCAATTTGTTCTCAAAATAGAGCTTCTTTTTGTTTTTTGTTTTTTCTGGAAGGCTACATGTATGCAAAATAGAGCTTTTTTTTTTGTTTTTTTTCTGGAAGGCTACATGTATGCAAAATAGAGCTTTTTTTTTCTGTTACTCAGCATGAAAAACCTGCTGGAAACCAATATCACAATGATGATGACATATCTGCTGTTTATCACTTTATTCACCAACAGGATGAACAGTTTACTTTGAACAGTCAGGTATCAGTTTACCTGAAAAGAAACAATATAAAAAGAGGTGAAATTTATACATGCAAGATTTCGTAGCTCCAGCATCACTCTTTCATAGTCAGCCTATAAACTTTTCAGCCCACCCTCCTATATATATATATATATATATATATATATATATATATCGCATGGTATGACATCATAGAAACACATCTTGAACTTACGATCTGTATCTGCTAGTCCATGACTGTTATCGTTGCATAGCAATTTTCTATAACAAAATATCATCTTTGATGATGGATCTCTTAGTTTCATGTCTGTATAACCATCCTGAGGATGGCTCATGTGAGTCGAAAGCTTAGCACCAACTTAATGAAAAAAATATCCAAATGTTGGACAATTTTTGTCATTATTTTTATCAGAAATTAAAGCAAACATTCGGACACTAGAACAGCTCATGATCAGACACAGTAGACATTCATTGTCTGTTATATTTAATAATATATGTTTAAATAATGATCTGTTGCCCCAATACATTAAATATCTCTCTTTCTCTCTCTCTCTCTCTCTCATATATATATATATATATATATATATATATATATAAAAAGAGAAGGTTGGCTGAATGGTCATAACCTAACAATTATTAGCTTAATTTTGACCCGATATTTTCACTGTATTATGTTCAGTCTATATTCACCACTGATTTAAGTGCATTAACAAGGAAAGAGATTATTATAAATAATCATCTATACCTTCCATTTTTTTTTTTATTCCTTTCTCTCCTTCCTTTTTCAATCATTTGTTTACTCATTTGGTAGTAATCTATTATATCCCAAGCCTTCATGTTATATAGAATGAAATCATTGTTTTTTTTTTTTTTTTGTTTTCTGTCAGTCATTTGTCTTGATATTTAACAACCAAGAATTAACTTAATCACATTCCTTATTCAAAGAAGATGCTATTAGGCTGAAAATTAACTAATATATATAAGAGTAATGATATCATCACCAAACCCAAGTTAGAAAATAAAGGTCACATGGTAATGTTCTAGAATTTTCAACAGCTCTCATTCCTGATTCATGAATTGTGGCATTTCTTTCCCTATTTCTCATTTCTTAATAATGTTTATACTGTAAGTTTTATATTAAATTATAGTAAATACAAATATATTTTTGTTAATATGACTTTTTTTTTTATATATGTATGACTTTGTCTTAATGTCATATTAACATTGTATTTTCACTATGTTCATATTGTTCTAATAGTTTTATCTTTGGCAGTTCAGGTATTTAACTTTCAACCCGGATTGTTTACTCCTGGGATGAAAGAAAAGAATGTCTTTTGTTAGGATTCATTATACAAAAGATACGAAAGAAATCTTTACAGTTTGCAATACTTTCCATTTTGACAATGTGAGATTTTAAAGAAAAAAAAGCATGATTCATTCTTCTGTTATATGCCATATAACTTTCTGTCTCTTGTAACTCTGCTTGACTTTTTACTCTTTCTCATTGTCCCCACTTTACCCGGTCCTGGGTATAACGATAAACTACATCCAACAGCAAGGCCTCTGATCAGGAGATTTTGTGGAGCGTGGAATCATCTCTTAATTGCTGGTGTTCCCAGGTCCACCCCGGGGTGGTAACACCTGTTAGGATCCCAACTATGGGCAAATAGTTATACCCCAAACTGAAGTCAAAACACTATGAAAGTGTAAAAATAGGTTTTAATACCAGCAATACTTTTTTTGACGGAAAAATTATTACCAGAAATACATTTTTGAGAAAAACGTTTTTTAACACCAATACATTTTTGAAGAAAGAGTTATTATCAGCAATAAAGTTTCGAAGGAAAAATTATTACTAGCAATGCTTTTGTGAAGGAAGAATTATTGCCAGCAATACATTTTTAAAGGAAAATTATTAAAAACAAAATATTATCAGCAATAATATTACCTGCAATAGATTTTTGAAGAAAAATATTACCAGAAATAGATTTTTGAAGGGAAAAAACATTGCTAGAAATACTCGCTATGAAACTGTAAAAATAGGTTTTAATACCGGAAATACTTATCAGCAATAAATTTTTGAGGAAAAAATTATTACCAGCAATACATTTTTGAAAAAAAATATTACCAGCAATAAAAGTTGTTGGCATTAAATAATCCATTGAGGTTGATGTGCTATAAAACAAAACAAACCAAACCAACCCACTCTACCATCCATTCACACAAATTTGTTAAGTAGGCCACTTGCTGTTTCCCTCTACCCTCGCCATCTTCAGTGTGTCCAGTGATTATTAAATTCCTCAGGTCCACTTTCCTCCATGTGTCACAAAAATTTCAACTGTTTCCTTTTGATTTTTAAGTATTATTTTGCTTTTAGTTTGTATTTTCTTTAAAACTTCCTCATTGATCATATGTTCAATCTATGGTATTCTTAGTATCTGTCTCTAGAACCATATCACTGTCTCTTCAAACTTCTTCCTCTTTGTGAAAAAATTGTGAGGCAATTCACCGACATACAGGAGGATTGATATAACATAAGTTCAGCACTCTTTTCCTTGTTTCTAATAGAAATTTTCGTATTTATTGATATTTTTATTTTCTGAAAGGTATTTTTCACTATTCAAATGTACCTGCAGACTTTTCTGTTGTCCGTTATTACTATATCCAAATAGTTGAATTTCTACATGATTCTTTATTTTTAAAGACAAAATATTAACTAAATATTAACTTTACAAAATTCAATATTTATTATGAAAAAAAAAATCCTCTTCTCTGCTCTCGTGAGTTATTTAACTTTGCTTTCTCCAAAATGATTGTAAAATAGCAATGTGAAATTCTTGTGGAAACAGTGTAACTATTATGGACACCATGTATACATGAGGGCAAATCACAAAGTAAAGACAATTTTGAACATTTTTACTACTACTATGTGCCATGCCTCTTTAGAATGTGGGTGATCATGGGCCTCCACAATTATAATACGTGTTGTATTGAGTTATTTTGATATTTATCATAAAGAGTTATTACAAAACTCTGCATATTTGAGACAATACATTTTAACTCACCTTATGTTGTATTCCCAAATTTTATTCCTATTTTCTTCTTCAGGTTTATGTAATCCAAGTTACTTGGGATGATGGTAGTTCTATTACAATTTACCGAAGATACAGCAATTTCTTTGATTTACAGGTAAGTTAGACACCTTTTTTGTACATAATAATTTACAGTGTTCTCTTTTTATCCTGTTTTTTTTTTTGTTTGTTTTATATCTGATGCTACAAAACAAATTCAAGTGAATTAATCTGATATAAAATGATTTCAATATTTAAAAAAATTCTTTCTATACATTTCTCATTGAAAAAACAAAAGAACTTTGAAATTTCAGAAAGAATTAATAATTTTAAATCCTTAAGAGCCAATATATATATATATATATATATATATATATATATATATATATATAAAACAAACAAAAAAAACTCTGGCTATTTCTTTGAGATGAAGTATTGTAACTATTTATACTATTTACATTGTTCAGACTGTTGTCCTCATCTTTACTGTCCCATTCATGATGTTTCGGCCATTGTACACTCCAGTCTTCTTCAGGTGATATTTGTTGGAATTTCAAACCAAATGCTTTTAGTCCACAGGGGTAGATTGTTCTAATTCCACATACCATGCCTTTGAATATCTCGGTTTTAATTAATTTGCCTTCATAACTCTCCAAGGTTTTGTTCTCTCTTCTGAGATCAGAAATTGAACTCACAACTCGTTGGGTCAAGTCACTTTTTAGATCAATCAGCCAATGCTTTTATCCACTGGACCATATGTCCTTGGGAAAATCTCTTTAAAAATGACCTAGAAATGTTATTGATAGATTTTGAAAGAGTTTTGAACAAAATGGGATCACTTGATAAAACATGATTTGTTACATTTAATTTTCTAAGCAGCAGATTAATTTATAAAATGTGAACAAAATGGCTGCCATTTCTCATAGGTAAGAGTCCTCTAAATATAATGTCACACTAAAGGATCAGAATATTATATATACCTCAGTGCCATATAATAATTATTGTACTGTATTTTGATTTTTTTTTTTTTTTTTTTTTCAGTTAGCAATTAACTTCAGTGTATTCAATTTCTAGTTTTCAAAAGTGTGGTATATTTTTATATCTTAAAAGTTATTTGTAATTTTACAAAATTCAATATTCATTATGAAAAAAAATCCTCTTCTCTTCTCTCGTGAGTTATTTAACTTTGCTATTTTACAATCATTTTGGAGAAAGCAATGTGAAATTCTTGTGGAAACAGTGTACCTATTATGGACACCATGTATACATGAGGGCAAATCACAAAGTAAAGACAATTTCGAAATAAATGTGTTGTATGAAAATTGCCTTTATGTTTTGATTTTAGTTTATCTATTTCATAGATATTCATATCTATGAAATAGACAAATATTCATGTAGGCAGGGATATAGTCACTGTTGCATAATATAGAAGTACTTTTAGCATTTAGTACATTTTATGCATGCATATATAGTGTGGTGCATAATTATAAGGCCAGCTGAATTTTATCTTTAAACCTTAGCAATTGAGATAATTTTTTAATATTTTGTATATTATTATATTGTATGAATAATCTGAAAGTTTTAAATAATTGTTATGAGTAGAATATCACTTATTGTAAAATTATTCAAAAACCTGAAAAATGATTGGTGCATAATGTTATGGTGCGGTTCCTTGTACCACGGTGATAGTCCAAGGTAGAACTAATAAAGAAGAACTCAAAGGCGGATATGGAATAACACAGATATATTTCAAACAGGAATATATACAGAGAGGTAGAAAAGTGTTAGTATGAACAATCAGTTTTAGTAGTAATTGTCTGAACACGACTCTGTTTCGGACTGCCTCTGACTTGACTGACTGACTCCTGACGGACTTCACTCCAGACTGAACTCTGTACTTCAGACGGAACTCCCTGCTTCCTCTTGAGGCGCAGTATTTATTACGTATGGAATAGTCCATTATGTTATTATGGGTAAGGTCCCATAACACATAATTAAAAGGCCATTTTAAAAAAGAGCACTGCAAGTTAAAATAATTTAAATCAACAGTCGCTTAAAATTTTATAAATTATTATTAACTCCTCAGCATTTGCGCATAACAAAATTGACATAAACTATGCCTGTGAATTTGAAAAAGGACATTTAATCGCACTCAAAAATGAAAATTTGAGTAGAGAAATTGCCATTAGGATTAAGCATTCAAAAACGATTAACAACTTTTTATCAAACATGGAAGAATATGGAGACGGAGAAAGAGCCAGAAGAAGCAAGAAATTAAGTGACAGAGATGTCAAATCAATCAAAAAAGAAGCAAGCAATACCGTCACATCATATTCCAAGATCCAGGCAACTCAGGAATTGGGTGTTTCATTCTGGATGGTTTGGAGAGAATTTTACAGATTGTCTGAGTTCAGTTATGGCAAGCTTATGAACATTCCATGTTTGACCGAGCACCATATGTCCGAGCGCTTCAATTGGGTCAAAGCTCATATGACCTGGGACAAGCAATGGGAAAATGTGGCATTTTCCAATAAAAAAAAACTTAATTTGCATGGTTCGGATGGGTCATCTTATTATTGGTATGACCTTAGAAAGGAGAAGTTGGTCTTTTCCAGGCATGTGCAAGGAGGAGGGAGTGTTATGATTTGGGCAGCATTCAGATTCAAAGGCAAAACTCTAATTGTTTTCATTGGGTTATCAGAATTTATAGTCTGCTGCTCTCTTGCCTTATGGAGAAAAAACATTGTTCGAAATTGGGTGTTTCAGCAAGATAACGCTCCTGTTCTGAAAGCCAAGTCCACTATGGAATGGTTTCAAGCTAACTGAATCAATATTATGGATTGGCCCACCAGATCACCCAATCTTAATCCTATCGAGAATCTTTGGGGGAGATTGGTTAGATGAGTATACAAGAACGGGCATCAATTTAATAACAAGGAAGAGATCAAAAGTGAAATTTTGAAAGCCTGGGATTCAATTAACAAAAACGACACTCAGAAGTTAATCTATTCTATGAAAAATAGTGTTTTGAAGTAATAGCCAATCACGGAAAACAAACTAAATATTAATTTCTATAAATTTTTGTAATAAAAATTTTTAATGGCCTTATAATTATCCACCAATCGTTTTTTGAGTTTTTGAATAATTTTACAATAACTGATTTTCTACTCATATTAATTAATTGAAACTCTCAGATTATTAATACCATATAGTAATATATAAAATATTAAAAAATTAGCTCAATTGCTAAAGTTTAAAGATAAAATTCAGCTGGCCTTATAATTATACACCACTGTGTATGTGTGGGAGGGTATGACATATTTATGCATATGTTTTTGAAATATTTTATGTATGATTCTATATGTTAACAAACTATTTATATCTAAATTTTAAGTGTATTAAGATTTTGAACATTTTTACTACTTCTATATGCCATGCCTCTTTAGAATGTGGGTAATCATGTGCCTCCACAATTTCCTGTCTTTTGTATCTCTAAATAATGTTTGTCTTTTTGCTATCTCTCCTGATACCTGTTTAGACAAACATTCACACAAACTCAGTAGGTAGGTTATGCAGTGCTTTCCTTTGTCCCTCTTGCTTTTGATATGTCCTGTGAGTGTCAAATTTTCTAAGCCATCTTTTCACCATTATGCCCCCTAGATATTTCAGTTGTCTCTTTCTGATGCAAAATATTAAAAATATTTTTTTTATATGCTCTGCACATTTGTTAGGATTTGTTTCTTAATGTTTCATTATTGAAGCTTTTTTTATGTTTCACTGGCTGACTTAAAGAAAATCTTAAAGATCAAAATGAAATTTTAGATAAAAGTTCAAAGAAGGTAACAACAGTTAGATTAGTTTATTTCTACTCAATTTGTACTTTTACAACATTTATCAAGTATGCTTATTTAAGAGCTGAGAAAAAAATAAATTTATGAAAAATTATTTTAAAGTGACATTTAAAAAAAAACTTCTGCTTACTATAGATTCTATTTAATTTTTAGTACTCAAATATACAAATAGTTATTTAATAACCTTTGCTTAGTATAGCTCAAGGCTTCAAGTTGATTGCAGTACTTGGTATTACAAAGTGCTCACTTATCTAAGTATAAAACATGTTTATGCTTGCTTAACTCCACTGACCAAGTAGAACAGTAAGATTTGACTCTAAGTCCAAGTTATACTAATATATAAATGTAATTAATAGGATTATTAAATATAATGTATAGCATAGTCATAAGAAAGCATGATTCATCTTGTCTGTTTTTGCATTTATGTATGAAATGAACAAATCAGGCATCGATAACAAACACAGAAGCTACAAATTTATATAAGAAATTGTAGCTTCTGTCTGTTTGTTATCAAACTCCTCCTTGGCTTTTAGAGATAGACCCCCATAACCATATATATTCTGAAACTACATTACCCATGGTATTTGGATAAGTACATTTCATTTTGATCAAAAGGGGTCACCGGTTTTTTTTAGGGGAGGGGAAGGGATTTACACACAAGCGACCCCCCCCCAAATGAAAATTTTTTTTTTCCCTTTAATTTAAACTGAATTTAAATTTGAACAATGGAATGACTCCTATCAAAAATATAGAAGGAGAAAGCCAGAAGATAAAGGCCATATTGATAAAATCAAAATGAGACAATATAGATGTCAAGTGAGCAAAAAATCACCAATCAGTGGGTAGTGGCTTACAATACATATTTGTTGTTACAATTCAACTGTCATATCAATATTGATATCTGCTTATCAATTCGTCAAACTCCTCCTAGGGTTTTGGAGATAGACCCCATAACCATATATATACTGAAAACACATTACCCAGTATATTTCATTTTGAGAAAAGATAGGCGTTGGGGTGGACAACTCTTTTTTTTTCCCCTTTGATTTAAATTAAGTGTAAATTTGAACAATAGAATCCAAAATATAGAAGGAGAAAGCCAGAAGATGGAGGTCACACGGGCAAGATCAAAATGAGACAATATGGACGTCAAGTTCAGCAAGTAATCACCTATCAGTGGGTAGTGCCTTAATTCAGCTGTCATGTCAATAATGAAATCTGCTCATCAATTCATTCAATCAAATATTGCATCAAATACATATCAAAG